AATCTCTGTGTGCAAGTATGCATGGCTGTTTGTGCTTGTCTCTGTGTGTAAGCGTCTCGGCGCGTCTGTGTGTGTGGATGTGGGGAGCGGTGGCGGAGTGGTTAGCGCACTGCGCTGTGATCCCCCGAACACCCGCGTTCGATTTCCAGTCGCGGCGAACATGTGGTCTTCTCTGCCTGAAATGATTGCGTTTGCTTTTCCATGAGTCCACGATTGTCTGTTACCAATTGTTTAGTGCGCACCACTTCACGTGGCCGCCTTTGTCTTCCTCTCGTTGATGTTTCCGCTGGTCGTCACGTCGCCAGGTTCATAGCACAGTGACCTAACCGCTGCATCACCGCTCCACACACACATCCTACGTTATCATCACCACCACCAACTCCACCCACACGCAGCAACAACCACCATTCGCTGCTACGTTGCGGTGACGCCACAACGGCGAATGTGCCAGGCTAGGTGCACGTTGAGGCTACCACGTGAAGTGTGGCAGGCTCGCTGGCAGGTTATGGGAGAGACCCAGGCAGCATGCGTAGACGTGTGTGCCGGGCTAGGTTCAGGAGATCGTGGGACAGACCCAGGTTCAATGGCTTAACTGAGACGGATGGCAGACGCACCACATCTTGCGCTCCCCACTCTTGTCACCTCGCTGCATTTTATCCGCCCAGCGCTCCGCTCGTTGTTGTGAGCGTCACTCCTCCGTCCTCTGCTATTGATGGAGGGCGATTTGTCTCCAACTGCCCAGTAGCAGCGTCCTTCACGAGCCTCCTCCGTAGCGGCCGATCCTGACACCGCTGGTACCTCCACCATCACCACCATCATCATCACCATGATCATCATCCCAACATCACCTCGTCACGTGCGAAATGCATAGCCCGCGGTGAACTGAATAGCGTGGCTATGTGGGTATACGGGCGATGGGAGAGAGGGTGTGGGAGATGAGAGAGAGAGATGCAGAGAGAGAGAGGAGTGGGATATGGGAGAGCGATGTCTACGGAGGGAGATTGAGAGAGTGTGGGAGATGAGTGGGGGGGGGGGGGGGGTGTGATGGGAAGAGATGGGGAGGAAGATAGAGCCACTGAGATGGGGAGGGAAATGGAGCGAGATGCGAGAGATGGAGGGAGGTGGATTAACCCCCAACACCCCCCCCACCTCTCCCTAAGCCCCCCCCCCCACTTCACACACATCGATCCCCCCACGTGCCCCCCACCCGGTGTTAATTATTGAAGGCGCGCGCGTCTCTCATCGATCGCGCACAGATCCACTTACAGTGGCGGGGGGCAGGGGTGGGGGGCAGCGGTGGGGGGCAGGGGTGGGCACTCAGAGTCGAAGTCTCCTTCAACTTCGCGCTCCGATGGTAGAGGGGAGGGGGAGGCGAGAAGCGGGATCAGCGGCGCAGCTGTCGATGAGACGAGGTCAAGCCCCTCCCCTCGCTCCCCCCCCCGCTCCCCCCCACCACCTCCCCCATCTCTCCCTCCACCTCTCCAGCGCTCTCCCATTCATCTCTCCCCTCGCCATCTCCAAACCTCTGCATCCATCTCATCCTCTCGCTCTCTCTCTCTCTCTCACTCCACCAACCCACTCCCCAGTGATTATAATTGGTGGCTGTAGTGAGGAGCGGATGATGAAGTTGATGGGATATTTGGTGACGTCTACGTGAGTGATAGTCCCGTTGATGCTGTTGGCAATGGTAAAGTTTATGATGGGAATATGGTGATGTTGGTGGTGACAGCGTGTCTTGTGATGTTGGTGGTGGTGATGCTGGTGGTGGTGATGCTGGTGGTGGTGATGCTGGTGGTGGTGATGCTGGTGGTGGTGATGTTGGTGGTGGTGGCGGGGTGTCTTGTGATATTGGTGGTGGTGATGCTGGTGATGCTGGTGGTGGTGATGTTGGTGGTGGTGATGCTGGTGGTGGTGATGCTGGTGGTGGTGATGCTGGTGGTGGTGATGCTGGTGGTGGTGATGTTGGTGGTGGTGATGCTGGTGGTGGTGATGCTGGTGGTGGTGATGCTGGTGGTGGTGATGCTGGTGGTGGTGATGCTGGTGGTGGTGATGCTGGTGGTGGTGATGTTGGTGGTGGTGATGTTGGTGGTGGTGATGCTGGTGGTGGTGATGTTGGTGGTGGTGATGCTGGTGGTGGTGATGCTGGTGGTGGTGATGTTGGTGGTGGTGATGCTGGTGGTGGTGATGCTGGTGGTGGTGATGCTGGTGGTGGTGATGCTGGTGGTGGTGATGCTGGTGGTGGTGATGCTGGTGGTGGTGATGTTGGTGGTGGTGATGCTGGTGGTGGTGATGTTGGTGGTGGTGATGCTGGTGGTGGTGATGCTGGTGGTGGTGATGTTGGTGGTGGTGATGCTGGTGGTGGTGATGTTGGTGGTGGTGATGCTGGTGGTGGTGATGCTGGTGGTGGTGATGTTGGTGGTGGTGATGCTGGTGGTGGTGATGCTGGTGGTGGTGATGCTGGTGGTGGTGATGCTGGTGGTGGTGATGCTGGTGGTGGTGATGCTGGTGGTGGTGATGCTGATGGTGGTGATGTTGGTGGTGGTGGCGGCGTGTCTTGTGATGCTGGTGGTGGTGATGTTGGTGGTGGTGATGCTGGTGGTGGTGATGTTGGTGGTGGTGATGCTGGTGGTGGTGATGTTGGTGGTGGTGATGTTGGTGGTGGTGATGCTGGTGGTGGTGATGTTGGTGGTGGTGATGCTGGTGGTGGTGATGCTGGTGGTGGTGATGTTGGTGGTGGTGATGTTGGTGGTGGTGATGCTGGTGGTGGTGATGTTGGTGGTGGTGATGTTGGTGGTGGTGATGCTGGTGGTGGTGATGTTGGTGGTGGTGATGCTGGTGGTGGTGATGTTGGTGGTGGTGATGCTGGTGGTGGTGATGTTGGTGGTGGTGATGCTGGTGGTGGTGATGCTGGTGGTGGTGATGTTGGTGGTGGTGATGCTGGTGGTTAACTCCGTGATGAGCCGAGTCGCTCATGTCCCCCGCGCTCATCCACAGAGCAATGTGGGGACACGAGCAGCTATCCCCCCTGTTCCCCCTGTTCCCCCTGATCCCACTGATCTCTACGGGGTCCCCTCTGCCTCCCCCCCCCTCTACGCCCCAAGCGCCCCACTTTGGGGCATCAGACAGACAGTCGTGATCAGAGATTCATTTTACACTGCAACATTGTTTGGGTGGTTGGTAGACTGCAGTAGGCGGCACGTGACGAATCACAGTCCACGGTGTACAGGATGTGGTGTGCCGGGATGGAAATATTTGCCGGGTCACCGACCCGGTCAGACCCGGCTGGAATTAAGCAGTGGGTCTTGGCTTCCTCATACATCTCCCCACCACCCACAGCCACTCTAAGCATCTCCCTAACACCCACTCTAACCATCTCCCCACCACTCACACCCACTCTAACCATCTCCCCACCACCCATACCCACTCTAACCATCTCCTCACCACACACACCCACTCTAACCATCTCCCCACCACCCACTATAACCATCTCCCCACCACCCACACTCACTCTAACCATCTCCCCACCACCCACACCCACTCTAACCATCTCTCCACCACTCACACCACACTCTAAACATCTCACCACCACCCATACCCACTCTAACCATCTCCCCACCACCCACACCCACTCTAACCATCTCTCCACCACTCACACCACACTCTAAACATCTCACCACCACCCACAGCCACTCTAACCATCTCCCCACCACTCACACCCACTCTAACCATCTCCCCACCACCCACAGCCACTCTAACCATATCCCCACCACCCACACCCACTCTAACCATCTCCCCACCACCCACTCTAAACATCTCCCCACCACCCACACCCACTCTACCCATCTCCCCATCACCCACACCCACTCTAACCATCTCCCCACCACCCACACCCACTCTAAGCATCTCCCCACTCCCCACACCCACTATAACCATCTCCCCACCACCCACACTCACTCTAACCATCTCCCCACCACCCACACCCACTCTAACCATCTCCCCACCACCCACTCTAACCATCTCCCCACCACCCACTCTAACCATCTCCCCACCACCCATACCCACTCTAACCATCTCCTCACCACACACACCCACTCTAACCATCTTCACACCACCCACACCCACTCTAACCATCTCCCCACCACCCACATCCACTCTAACCATCTCCCCACCACCCACACCCACTCTACCCATCTTCACACCACCCACATTCACTCTAACCATCTCCCCACCACCCACACCTACTCTAACCATCTCCCAACCACCCACTCTAACCATCTCTCCACCACCCACACCCACTCTAACCATCTCCCCACCACCCACATTCACTCTAACCATCTTCACACCACCCACACCTACTCTAACCATCTCCCAACCACCCACTCTAACCATCTCTCCACCACCCACACCCACTCTAACCATCTCTCCACCACCCACATTCACTCTAACCATCTTCACACCACCCACACCTACTCTAACCATCTCCCAACCACCCACTCTAACCATCTCTCCACCACCCACACCCACTCTAACCATCTCTCCACCACCCACAATCACTCTAACCATCTTCCCACCACTCACTCTAACCATCTCTCCACCACCCACACCCACTCTAACAATCTCCCCACCACCCACACCCACTCTAAACATCTCCCAACCACCCACACCCACTCTAAACATCTCCCAACCACCCACACCCACTATAACCATCTCCCCACCACCCACACCCACTCTAAACATCTCCCAACCACCCACACCCACTCTAACCATCTCCCCACCACCCACACCCACTCTACCCATCTCCCCACCACCCACACCCACTCTAACCATCTCCCCACCACCCACACCCACTCTAACCATCTCCCCACCACCCACACCACTCTAACCATCTCCCACATCTCAATGGCCTGTGACCAGTCGCGGTTTGGGCGGGGCTAGTAGCAGGGGTGGGCGTGGTTATGTCAAAGTAGGCGGGGCTTGCAGAGGGCGGGGCCACCGGTACGCCACGCCTCCCGGGTTGAGCCTCCTGATCCGACAATGAGCGCGACTGTCACGGTGGGACGAGTGCCACCCGAGTTGAATTCGTGCACGGACACCCGGGCACGTGACCGGAGTTGACCCGCGAGCCAACGAGTAGACGAGTGGACGAGCTGACAGCGTCGATCGTTTCGACAACGACGCTCGACGCGGCGTTTGACAAATGCGCGCACCACCGACACACGCGCGCGCGCGAAAGACGAGGCCTCGTTGAGTTGCGCGTCTCGCCCAGTGGATATATTAACACCAACACTCATATTGCGGATATTCAAGTGCGACACGGCACACTGCACGTAAGGTATATGGTCTCGGTGGATACATGTAATGAAGCTTTGTGCTCTTACCATTCTCATCATCGAATAATAATAATAATTACCCTAACAGTCTCTCGGCTTTAATTACAGTTCGTGGTTCCCATTGTTGATGTTGGCGTCACCGGCGTTGTGGTTGCATCATAGAAGGGCGCTCACGGCCTTCTTGTCACCGGCACTCGCACCGACGGTCAACATCACCAGTCACGACCGCCGGTGGTGATCTCACCGCCGATCTCGAGTGGTGGTGTTCTGCAGTCGTGATGCTATTCGTGGTCTCCAGTCGTGGCGATCTCACTGGCGGTCTCCGGCAGTGCGCATCTCCAGTCGTGGTGACCTTCAGTGGTGGCCACGTCTGGTCATGATGCCACTGGTGATCTCCAGTGGTGGTGATCTCCAACGGTGGCGATGATCTCGGTGACGATTGCCCGTGACGACCGCCGAGCGCCTTCCACAACTGTGCGGCAGCGGCGATGGTGATGACGACGATGATGATGATGACGATGATGAGAACTAGGTGTAAAGTGATGATGATAACCATGATTTATGGAGATGATCACGGTAGCTGAGAGATTAGTTGAGATCAATGGTCGACGTGGCGATGGTGGCCATGATCATGAACACAATGATGATGTTGCCCAATAGTGATGACGGCGAAGACAGCGATGATGGTTGTTATGACGACAGTGATGGTGAATGTCGATGGACACGCTCGGTGGGTGGTGATGCAGACGACGACGTCGCCTCTTGGTCGCGTCAGCTCCATGTCTGTCTGATATGCTTTAAATATATACGATCCTCGTCACGCGTGTGAAAACCAGCGGGAGGTTATGGAGGCCACGAAATCCCCCACGAGGTGTGCGGTGTGGCCGGGCGGGGCGTTGTGGGGGGATGCTGATCGCGAGGTTAGAGGAGGCGGTGGAGAGGATGACGACGGGAATGTTCGCAGCGCCAGTTTGTCAAGCGTCTGTAGGCTGTGGGCCGTGGTTGCGGCCTCCCACCACGACCTCTCCCTTTGTGGTCCTGCTGCTGTTTTTGTGTTGAGAAGGCACAGGGGAGGTGACCAGGGTCTCGGGGCTCCAAGTGTGGCCGAGAGAGGAGGTGGAGGGGGGGGGTGAACACCTCCGGTGTTGTCACTGCACCAGTCCTGGACTCCTCGAGGCCAACATGATCCCTCCCCCACCACCCGCCTCGTGTCTCCTCACCCAGGGGCCCCGGGGCCCAGAGCAGCCTCCGCTCGGCCGAACACCTCCCTCACGCCATGAGCTCGGGCGCCAGCTCCATGTCCTCTTTAACTTAACACGCAAGGGTCCATGAGTTGCTGCTGCTGCAGCAGCTGTTGCTGCTGTTACAGCAGAAGGGAAATCCCATCACGATTTGAGGGGCCCCAAAGGTCTCCAGCCGACGGGGCCTCGCGAGGCCCGGCGGAGCCTCGGCCTCACCAGGACGCCGTGCCCAGCATCACCTGAGGCAGAGTAGCGAGGCCGCCAGGCCTGGGAGCAGGACCCAGGCGCGGCCCAGGCACATTCCGCAGGCTCTGCTGTTGAGATTGTTTGGCTTCGCTGTGGAGAGAGCAGCAACACAGAAAAGATATGTTCTCCACCACCACCACCACCACAATTCACACAATCTTGCCATTTTTATCACCACCACCACAACCACCACATTTTCACATTCTTGCCATTATCACCACCACCACCACCACAATTCACATAATCTTGCCATTATTATCACCACCACCACAATCACCACATTTTCACAATCTTGCCATTATCACCACCACGACAACTACCACATCTTCATAATCTTTCCATTATCAACACCACCACCACAATTCACATAATTTTGCCATGATTATCACTACCACCACATTTTCACAATCTTGCCATTATTATCACCACCACCACAACCACCACATTTTCACAATCTTGCCATCATCAGCACCACCACCACCACAATTCACACAATCTTGCCATTATTATCACCACCACCACAACCACATTTTCACAATCTTGCCATCTCCATCACCACTGCCACTACAATTCTCACAATCTTGGCATTGTCATCACCACCACCACCACCACCACAATTTTCACAATATTTCCATTATCACCACCACAATTTTCACAATCTTGCCATTATCACCACCGCCACACCACAATTTTCACAATATTGTCATTATACCACCACCACTTCCATATTTCTCACAATCTTGCCAACACCAGCACCACTGCCACCACAATTCTCTCAATCTTGCCATTATCATCACCACCACAACTACAGTTCCCACAATATTGCTATTGCCACCACAATCACGTAAAAAACAACATTTATGGTGTCTGTGGGTGAGCTCTTCCACCGGAGGCGTGAGATGAGTGGTCCTGCTAAGGTAAAACGTGAGCTGTGAGGTGAGTGAACCTGGTGAGACGTGATGGGGGTGTCGGTGTAGACATGCGAGCGCTGGGGGTTGGAGACTCACACCCGGATGAGATCGATGGCTTCTCACAGTTCCCGTCCACCACCGTCACGTCATCGATGGCGATGTCTCCCTCCACTCCCGACCCACGGATCCCCTCCACGATCAGCTGGGGTGTTCATCACGGGGAGTAAGGTCACGGTGTGTCACGGATATCGGGGTTATGTTAAGGTGTATATGTGTAAGGCTGTGTGTGTGTCGGTGTCAGGGTGTGTGTGTGTGTGTCAGAAATCCCAGGGGATTGTGGGAGGCACCGTGTGGACAAAGCGACACTCTCATCGGCTATTTTCTGGGTTGCGAGAGGTGGCAGTGGATTGAGGGGAGGCCTTCATCCAGCAGTGGATTGACCACGGTTGATAACGATGCCACTATAGACTCTATGCGACTATAGAACACATACAAATACAAAGATCCCCCGTATAGCCTTGACAGATTTTTGAAGCAAGTGCTTCTAGCGAGCACCTATGAAGGCCGGAACTGCACACGAGGGGGTCGTGTGGCCAGAATCACGCCCGGACGCCTTTGGCTCTCCAGTCCTGAGTTTTTTTTACTTTGCACACCGCACCAGGTACTCATTTGAGGCTGAGTCGACCTAGGGGAGACCCAGGACCGGTTTAAGAAATCGTCACCGGCGTTGGCCCCCGAGCGGGAGTCCAACTCGGGCCGCCGGGTTCGCGACCGCTTCCCGCATCGGAGCGACCACCGCAAACAGCGCCGCGATGAATCGCTCCGCAATGTTGACTCGCGACCCCCGTCTCGCGACCCCCGTCTCGCGACCCTCGACTCGTGGTGAGCGTCCCCTTCGTATTCTTTACTCGTTTGTTGCGTCTCAGGGGCAACAGCCGTGGCCCAAACGTAGCAGCATCTCATTCGCGCGCACTTTGCGTGAACCGTCGTCCCGCGCGCCAGCGTCACGACAGCATTAATAGACGCTATGCGAAGACTTTCACGGCCAATATTACAACTCGTAATTGGTTATTTTAGCGTAAAATCACGCGGGTAATAATGACAATTTTCAGCGATGTTGCCTCTGCCGGGTGCGCTGAGTGTTTAGCTGCAAATTGGCAAGATACCAACACAATCTAAGCCAACAAGTGACGACTGTAATTACGAATCGTGATAATAGACGTTTATAGATGCATCGACATACACGCCCCCACTGGCCAATGTAGCCGATGCACTACAGCACAGTCCTTTTGGCAATCCACTGCTGGATGAAGGCCTCCCAGGTGGGGGGGGGGGGGGGTGTCTGTGTTAACCGTACTTCACTGCCACTCAGCAGGGCATTTGTGCTGCTGTTTGGTGAAGGTAGAGCGTGGGGCGCTGTGCAAGGCCCGCGGGCCACTGGGGGCCCCTGGTGGCCTTTAGTGCGCCCCCCCCCCCCCGACAAGACACACAGAGTGACAACACCCCCCCCCCATCGTCGTCGTCGTGCTGCTGTCAAGCCCCCCCAATGGTTTCACAAATGGCGTGGCGGCCCTCACACTGACGATGTCATATCGGCGAAAGTGGCCTCCCCTCCCCTCACCTCCGAAGTACACTTGGGGTAAATGAAGAACCGAACAAAGGTGCGGGATTTCCCCACTGCCCTCTGCTGCCCACCACGTAGGCCTCCAGCCTGCAGCAGCAGCAGCAGCAGCAGCAGCCTATGACACCTTTATAATACAAGGTTTTTAAGCGATCTAACCCAAAAAACGCGTAAATATTTACGCGATCTGACCCAAAAAAACTGTATTACGGATGATATTGGTCGCGAAAGGTTACGCGTTAACGTGACACCCTTGTTACGCGCGGTCATCGCCCACCCAAGAGCTATCCAGCCATCAACCCTGCTTAGCTTGCGAAAGCTCTGGGGAGATGGAGCCCATTGCGGCTTGTGGACGCCTGCTGACTCGCAGGTCCACCCAACCCCTCCCCTCGAACCCGCCCCACGCCCCACCACCCAACCCCTTCGTGCCTATGGGACCCCGAGACAAATGCGGTGACCTTTTCCGACACGAATGACAGACGCAGGCGTCTGCATGAGAGCGCGAGAGCGTCGGGAGAGAGAGAGGGAGAGACACGGGGAGAGATATGGGCGGTGTGCTGACCACGACACCCACTACCACGCCACCACGCTACCCACTGTCACACCACCACACCACCACGCTACCCACTGTCACACCACCACCCTACCCACCACGCTTCCCACGCCACCACCACAACACTACCCACTACCACACCACCACCCTACCCACCACACCGCACCTCTCCCTACACACACAGGCAAAGACCCCCCGTATAGCCTTAACAGACTCTTGGGGCAAGTGTTGTTAGCGAGCACCTATGAAGGCTGGCACGGCACACGAGGGGGTGGTGTAGCCAGCACCAGGCCCGGCCGCGTTTGGCTCCCCAGTGGCGATGTTTACACACAGCACCGGGTACTCTTTTGAGGCTGAGTCGACCTAGGGTAGGCCCAGAACCGGTTCAAATAATCAGCACTGGTGTGGGCCGTAAGCTGGAATGGAACGCGGGTCACTGGGTTCACAGCGCATCGCGCTAACCACTGCTGCCACTACTCCCCACTCCACACACACACACCTGTACACAGGAACAACAACAACACACAACACTACTCCCCACTCCACACTCACACACCTGCACACAGGAATAACAACAACAACAGATGCCATTTGCCACGAAGTGACGACGGTGACATTGCCGCAGCCCTGGTGCCAGGCTAGGTGCGCGCAGTGTGTGCGGGCACCTGGAAGGGCCCTGGCGGGGTGATGGTGACGTTGGCGCGGTGCCACGTGTCGCCCTGGTTGCCCCCGCGCGTCCACACCTGCGTGTCGAGCGCTCCAGGCGAGCGCACGTAGATGTTCAGGGAGCCTGGGGACATCGCCGTTACTCACCGTCACCGCTCACCGCTCACCGTCACCGCCACCGCCACCGCCACTGCTCACCGTTCACCGTCACCGCTCACCGTTCACCGCCACCGCTCACCGTTCACCGCCACCGTTCACCGCCACCGCTCACCGCCACCGCCACCATTCGCCGTCACCGCTCACCGCCACCGCTCACCATTCACCACCACTGCTCACCATTCACCACCACCGTTCACCGCCACCGCTCACCATTCACCACCACTGCTCACCATTCACCACCACCGCTCACCGTCACCGCTCACCGCCCACCGCTCACCGTCACCATGCCTATTATCCATCACCATGAGCACTCACCATCGCACAAGAGCATCGCTCGCACAACGCAACACGTTCTACCCTCAAAATGCCCTCAAGACGATAAAACCAAGCAAGGAGCCTGTTTGTTTCCAGCCACTTGGCGTTTCGGTCCTTTGCTCAGCAACTGTGATGATATTAATAATAGAACGCAACACCCACCCGTGATTTTTTATAATTAAAGCGTGACCTGGATGACGGACTTGGACCCGATCCAGCCTCCGTGCTTACGGTAATTCTCGCCGCGGCGGACGAATCGGCTCTCTCGCCCCTGCGCCACCAATCCCACAAAAAGCCATCTGCCTCTTTAATACCTCCTGCTCGTGCATCACCAACACCACCACCACCAGCATCGTGAATACCACGGCCCACGCCACCAACATCACCAACCACCACGCTACCCACTACCATACCACCACGCTACCTACACCACCACCAAACTACCCACTACCACCCCACCACCCTACCACGCTACCCACTACCACACCACCACCCCACCATGCTACCCACTACCACACCACCACACTACCTACACCACCACCATGCTCCCACTACCACCCCACCACGCTACCCACTACCACACCACCACGCTACCCACTACCACACCACCACGATAACCACACCACCACCCATCCACGCTTCCCACGCCACCACCACGCTACGCATCAGTACCTTGCTACCCACGACTATGATACCCACGCCACCACAGTATGCACACCACCACCACCGCCATGCTACTCACTACTACACCACCACCATGCTGCTACACCACCACCATGCTACTCACTACTACACCACCACCATGCTACTCACTACTACACCACCACCAAACTACCCACTACCACCCCACCACCCTACCACGCTACCCACTACCACACCACCACCCCACCATGCTCCCACTACCACCCCACCACGCTACCCACTACCACACCACCACGCTACCCACTACCACACCACCACGATAACCACACCACCACCCCTCCACGCTTCCCACGCCACCACCACGCTACGCATCAGTACCTTGCTACCCACGACTATGATACCCACGCCACCACAGTACGCACACCACCACCACCGCCATGCTACTCACTACTACACCACCACCATGCTGCTACACCACCACCATGCTACTCACTACTACACCACCACCACGCTACCCACTACCACACCACCACCATGCTACTATCCACTATCACAGCCACCACGCCACCCACCTCCACCCTCTCTCGCTCGCTCACAGCGTGGATTATGAAACTGTGCTGGGGGAGGTTGGTGTTTGGGGTGGCTCAGAGTTTCAAATCTCTCCCTCTTGCACCATCTCCCACATGCTCGTCGCTTTCCACTCTCACGCAGCCCGTCATGATCTCACACACTCAATCTCACACTCACCCCCGCCCCCCGTACAGCCTTCACGGACTGTAGGGGCAAGCGCTGTTGGCGAGAAGCACCTGTGAAGGCCGGCACGGCACACGAGCCACACGAGCAGGGTTGCCAGCACCACGCTGGGCCGCCTTTGTCTCCCTCGTGGTGAGGTTCACAAATTGCACCAGGTACTCGTTTTATGGCTGAGTCGAGCCAGGGAAGGTCTGGAACCGGTTCAGATGATTATTAATCGTCACTGGTGTTGGCCGTGCAGCACGCTCACCGCTACACTGCTGCTTCCCACCTACAAAGATAAAGTTCCCCCGTATAGCCTTAACAGACTTTTGGTGCAGGTTCCGCACACTCTCTCACACTCCCACTCTCAGATTCGATCACGCACACACCGTCTCTCACGCTCACCCTCAACGTGACCCCCTCACCCTGAAACTCACCCCTTTTATCCCACCTAAGACCTGACCCTGGACCCTCCACAGGGACCCGAGAAACCCCGACGAGACCCCGTTGGACCCCAGTTGCACCCAATGGGACCTCGATGGGACCCTGGGCTCACATCTTTGCGCTTACCCCCGACTCCCCCCTCAGTAGACCCCCAGTTAAACCCAGGTTGGACCGCGGTTGGACCCCCGACGGGACCCCGTTGAGACATTGAACCCCGGTAAGACCCCTGGTGGAACCCCAGTGGGATGCCCAGTTGGACCCCATTGGAACCCCTGGTGAGAACCCCGGTGAGACCCC